TACTGACTCTACTTACAGTAGTATCATTACTAACATTGCATACAATATTGACATTACTGTAAGTAGAGTTAGTATTGGAAGTAGTGCCAATATTGTAAGTAATGTCAGTATTGTTAGCTTGAAAATATTGCAACTGCAATGTGATCGTCGTTAATTCGCTGGACTCCGGATTAAGGCCACCCGGAGGTGTATTAATGGTTTCCTGGGAATTAATTGCTGGGGTAACCCTATAATAAATAACTCCCACGATTGATCAGCATCCCATTCACGGGGAGCAGAATAACTGGGAAAAGAGCCGACCAGATAGACCACTAGGAACGCAGGCTCACTTAACGTTGTCAGCACCATATGGCGAAACCAAACTTACTGCTGAAGGTTACTACTGTTAAAACTTCTCTTACTCAATAAAGGGAGGGGGTAGCTGGAGCCTTTTGATGAAAGGCAAACCTCCCAAATTTAGTCCTCGTAGTATTATTTTAAGCGGGGGTTATGAATATCACTAAAAACCTCACGTTCGTCTTATGCTTATGATTATGTCGCTGTTACAACCAGTATGCAGTGTTGGCATAAGCATAACCATAAGCGAAAGACTTTCAGCCAACTGAACGAGCATTTTCTGCTTATGTAGACAATTTCCTCGCTACTAATCATAAGCATAAGAAGAATGCTTATGCTCATGTCGCGGGCGTCCCCACTAGCGCATGAGTATCTTATGCTTATGCAAGCTTATGCTTATGCTTGTGTTGCTAGTGAGGTTTCATCAGAAAACCATAAGACTTTTAATAATAAGTGGATGCTTCTAGTTTAATAATAGGTCTGCAAATGCCTTTATAGTCTGCATACGAGCCAAGTGGCCCATCAGGCCGGAGCTTATCCTGGTTTCTGGATGGGATGCCAGTCCATTAATAATAATTGACAGGGCTACCGCCATCAGGGTTACCCCCAGCATTAAGTTCCCCGATACCCATTTTATTTTATACACCTGGGTGGAGAGGGGCACTGTGAGAGTTAAGTGTCTTGCCCAAGAACACAACGCAACGTCCACGGGTAGGGCTCGAATCCGGATCCACTCGATCTGGAGACGAACGCACTAACCATGAGGCCACTGTGCCTCCCTCCCCTCTTTATTTATTGAGGGTTGCACACAACAGTAATAACTGAAAAACCAGTGGCCCTCACATAAATATTTACAGAATAAAAAAGATGACAA